CCGTCCGCTGCCTGGTCCGCGTGGATTTTTTTCTAGTAAACTTTTCTTTAGATTTAAACATCTAGCAGTTAAATGCTCAAAAAATAAAAAATAAAATCAGAAATTATGTTTTTATTTTAAAAGCATTTAACTGCTATTTGTTTAATAAATAAAAAAATAAAAAAAAAGAAAAAAAAAAAAAAAAAAAATATAAAAATAAATCTAAAGAAAAGTTTACTAGAAGAAATTCCAGACGGGGTCCCTCTGCTGCCTGGACCGCGTGGATTTTTCTCTGAGCAGAATTTGTTCATCAAATACCTAAACCGGAAACCTACAGAAATTGAAACGATTTATCTTAGATTCTTATCTATAAAGTTAACATCAAAAACAAGTTGAATTTTATTTTTCAAAAATGTTCGGCAGTTTGTTAAATTTTTCATCTAGGTACTAACTTGGCAAAAAAGGACAACAAATTTCCGCTGACATAAATCTAGCTCAAGATCTAGCTGCTATTTCCATTTTGTCAAGACACCCCCGGGATTTCTTGAAAACGCGAGGGTCTCGTCAAAAGAGCTGTCAAATAAATGTCACGTGGTATTCGGCGTATTTACGGTCGCGTTTGGTAGCCAAACGGTGTTTTTACAGTACGATTACGTATGCCGCTGTCTAAATACCAATAAATCTCAAGGTTCTCGATTTCTCATTTTATATAATGCACCTGTGCGAAGCCAAGCGGGTCGCTAGTAATATTATGCGATTCAACTAAGAATAGGACTGACTGGGCGCCATATTTCGACGTCATAGCTGTTAATTCAAACCAAATAGGAAGAGTGAGCAAAAAAAAGTTTCTATTTAATAAAACTTATTTAATAAAACTAGTTTTTACGGGTTAATGCACGAAATTTTATTTATTTATTGACGTTTCGTAGCCTTTACAGGCTACGTCGTCAGAATCAAACTTTTATTTAAATTGTCGAGCTACCTTCGAAAGACTTTTATTGAGCGTTCGGTTATTTCATTGTTCGATTTTAAAGTTTTATTGTCTATGTATGAATTTATTATTTAATTTACTTAATAAAGTATTTTATTTAAAATTCTGTTTTGTAATTTTGAGTTTATTTATTTGACCCTAACTACCGTAAACTACCACCGGTTCCAAAATTGGGAGACCTTTCTGAGAAAAACCGGCGAAACAAACTCAAGAGAGGCTTTCTATCTCCTTCTTATGTTAAATTATGCAAACAAAAAGAACTAATAGTATCTGATGGTCTTGCAGTGTGTGCTCGGGGTAGGGGGTAGGAGGAGGAGTGGTAGAAGATCAACCAGTTTCTAGCGGACGTCCGCTGCCTGGTCCGCGTGGATTTTTTCTAGTAAACTTTTCTTTAGATTTAAACATCTAGCAGTTAAATGCTTAAAAATAAATAAAAACATAATTATTTACTTAGATTAAGTGAGAAAAAACATTAGATTTTTTAATAAAATTAATTTACTAAGATTAAGAGAAAAAACAACCGATTTTTAATGATATTTCTTTACTAAAACTGTGTGAGAAAAACATTGATCAGAATCTAGCTCTTCAATTGCGCTCCTCTCTGCATTACCGCCGGAGTAGTTATGAATAATCATGCAGGTCACATACGAACATGCATCCTATATGTAAACGAAAGTATTAAATCGAGTTTCTGAACGCAACATAAAGTGACATTTGGTTGACGATTTAGGTTATCAACCATTCAAAGCCAAAGCTAAATAAATGAGAAAAAATATCAACCTATATTAATCTATATATATAAAAATGAAACCCGTTTTCCGTTGTCACGACATAACATGAAAACGGCTTGACCGATTTGGCTGTTTTTTTTTTGTAGTTTTCTAATACTCTGTACAAGGTTCTTACGGAAAAAAATATAAAGAAAATCCCAAGGGGATAAAATAAGGAATGAAAGTTTGTATGAAACTTTATCAATTTTAAACCGATCGGGCTGAGACTTTGCATGCAGGTATAAGAAGAATCATAGATGAATGTCATTGTATATAATACAAGCCTGAGAACAAAAACTGTAGTCTACACTTCAGCTCTACACCGAAGCGAAGCGAGGGCGGGCCGCTAGTTATCAATATTTGTCATTGTTTCTTTTAAAAATGTTTGATTTTTATTCTAGAATTAGCCAAGTGCTAAAAAAGTGTTCCGATATTTTTTTGCAAACTGTACTTTTCAAGCGACATTTGACAGATGGAGGTCATTTTCTTTCCTATTTTTATTTGAATCGCATTATAAATGAATGATTCTAATGGCGCGATTACACTTGGTCGTTAGCCCGAATACAAGTGCCAATGAAATTCGTGTAAACGACTAAGTGTAAATGAACGAAGTCGAGTGTATGATGTGACTGTATCCGGGTAGTTTTCGTTTTGGTTACCCGACACCGTCTTCCAGTCTGTATTCCAGTGTAAATATTGCTTCGGTTGTTGTTGGGGTCCTGTTTTCTTCCGAATTTGATTAATGTCTTTCGTACACCTGAATAGGGGCTGACGACCAAATGAAATCGAGCCATAATATCATCATCATCATCAGCCTATTAATGCCCCCACTGCTGGGGTACAGGCCTTCGCTATGGATGGAATAGGGAGATTGGGCCATGCCCCACCACGCGGCCCGGTGCGGATTGACGGGTGCTAACGACTGCAGGTGCAGCCGGGAGCAACGGCTTAACGTGCCTTCCGAAGCACGAAGGAACTCGAGATAGAAGATTTTTGGTCACCCATCCAATGATCGACCACTGCGAAAGTTGCTTAACTTCAACGATCGCAGCCGTACGCGCTAACCACCCGCGCCATCGAGCTCCTCACAGTCAAATAGCCTATTCAACTAACGAACAGTTTTACACGTTCCTTTGAAACGTACATTTCAGCACATCGTGTACGGCGTACAAGTTTCTCAAGGGTGCGCAGTTTTAAAAGCTTTGCTACGCACAGTTGCGCTATAAATTTTGATCGTGACTGCCTCTTGCTTGAAGCACTTTGTTTTAGTATTTTCAGATATAGGTACGTAGGTATAAGTTATAATTTACCTGTCGTTTTAGTTCTCTGTATTGATTCTATACGTTGCGAGATTGTCAAAGGTTCTGATAGGGATCACAATTTCATACATTTCGTTAATAAAAATGAGAAACATAAGGAAATTGCGAGATTGTCGTGAAACACTCAGTTGGGACGAAGTTAAAAATATTAGTATACCACCCACCAATCCGCGCTGGGCCTGGAGCGGAATGGGCCGAATGCGGACCGGGCCCAGTGTGGACGCCCCCGGTTCATAGCCACCGTACCCAATCCATCACTCACTAAACAAAACTTTTAACCAAGTCGCTTCGCTACCCATCTATCTACCCGCCCAGTTGCCTAGCTAGCTGCCTCGCTAGGTAGTGACGGGTAAATTTTCGTCTAGCTTACAACGATATTAAATACCCTAGATACACCATGTGCGCTCAAAATGTGTCCCAATCAAGAAGTGCTTGAACACGACTCAAACACTTCTTGGTTCACAGTCACGCGCGGACCGCTGAAAAGTCAAGCTACGGTAGAGCTCCGTGAAAAAATGCGAAATAAATACTTATAGTATGTAAATTGTCCTTTTTTCGACAAGTATCTAATAAATGTTTGTTAATTTAACGCATTTGAAGCAAATTATGTTGTAATACTATAAACTGTAGTAGTATAAGTCGTAAAATTTTATGAGCTTGCATTTTGATCTGTCATGACTCTTTGACGAATGCGTTTTAATTAAGACCTTATTGCATGCAGTAAAGGTGACTTTGAATGTTTAAATAATGCCTTATATTGTTTTTGACTACGCGATCATCTTATGGAGCTCCGTGTATCGTCCAGTGTACCTTTTGGATAGGTTTCGGCCACGATTTTGTTCGTGATGTTGTATCTAGGGTATTGAATATCGTTGCTAGCCTAGCCTTAATTAGGACCTAAAAGGAACTTCGTTCCAATAAGTCCTAATTTATAGACACACAAATAGTTAGCGGAAGAAATATTGGCACAGATGTTTTGATTGCGCAGAAGAAGACAAAAAAAAAAGCTAAAAGTACGATCTACGATCTCATAAAAGAGAACGGATGGTAATAAAACAATAAATAAAGAAATTCCGTAGTTCGCGTCGGCCATTTGTGACACGACACGAGACAGGAACGAAGACAAACACACTTTATTTATATTATACGTATGTACGACGGACGTTCCGAATCGAGTTTCCATGTTGGTTAATTGTGCTTCGACTTATTGGATTATTTGTGACGCCTGACGGCTTGGGTTGTGGCTCGAAAGCTCTTAATATAAAGACAAATTATGAAATTCGTTTTCGATACTTGCCTACAACGAAAGTGAAGATTTGGTTCTGTGACAGGATATATTATTTGTGTTGCGTATATTTTATCGGGCACTCCCGGAATAGAATGGAGGTTTATAACTTCTCAACGATTTCAAAAAAAGGGAGGGGTTCTCCATTATACCGTATCTTCTTTAGTAAATGCATTAAAAGTGCTAGATTTTTATATATATATTAAAGAAGGAAAAACTGTATGATACGTCTTCGCACAAGTATCATAAATATGATTTACATTTTCTTTCTCTGCAATACAAATATATAAAAGCTCTCCTTAGGTTTAGAGGTCTTTCTTTCTACCCCTAACAGCATCAAACGTGGCTTCAACTAGAATTATTTCTCTTTAGTATTAAGGTGCATGTATTGTTCTGGCTACACTGTTTAGTTGACCAGTTATGAATCAAGTTTTATATATATTTTATATATATTTTATGTTTATCTATGAGGTTTGCTAAATTCCATTTAGCTCGCCAGGTACAGAATATTCCTCAAATTTCGAGCTAGCATCATGCAAAAAAGCATCTGCACTTTGCTTTATTTCTTTTATCATTTTTATTATAGCACTCACTCTTCTTATCACACACTGAGTTTTTTACATCGTATCCTTTTCACAGTCAATCTTAATTTTTGCCTAGGAACCTGTAACAATATGCGATGAAGGGTTTTATATACTTTAATTGTTATTATGTGAAAAAAGGTATGATACAATAAAGCCAGCCAGAGAGTAATTTAAAACTCTTTAATTTTGGATCATATCTATTCAAACTAGCCAAATCATATTGAGCAGAGTATTTGCACAATGGCCTGTATACATTAACTGAAGCGAAAACAGATAATTTAATTGGAGATTTGTACCGGTACAATATGCCTCAAAATGTATGGTCGATAAGAAGCCGTATCGCCATGTAAAGACAAGAAAATATTTGTTACATTTTGGTTAGGAGGGATGTAAATGTAATTGACACTATATTGCACTTGTTTGACAGGGCACTGGACAATAGGAAGTTGTGCCCACATAACTTCTATTGTGTGGTATCTAGGCGTGGGAAGGCATACGCCTTTTAATCATGTGACAGATACACATTGGTAAAATGATATAGATTTGTCATTTAGATTTGACATGTATCGCTATCTTATGCAACTAGTGCTGTGAGATTCGACCGACAGCATGTGAAAGCATCAGGTGCTAAAGAATAGATATGTACAGAACCTTTAGTGTGCGAGTGAAAATCGCACTTAATTTTTTTTTGATATTTCACTATAGTTAGTTTTACAAAATAAACTAAAATCAACTGATGATTATTATACAATTAAACACTTATATTTTTGCGAATTAAGCCTGGTTTTATTGCGTCATAACTTTTTTCACACAGTTCCTTGGGACTTTCCGCCTTAACAAGAGTTAAAGTACATAGAAAAATCCTTTCAATGATATGTCGCATGTTGTATTGGTTCCTAGGCAGGCTTATAACATTTAGTTAGACTACTGCCTAGTTTAGACTCCAGTCTCCCACAGACACGTTCATGTATGTATATTAATAACCTATATTGACTATGATCCGTTTGATGTTTGTGGAGAGAAATAAATGAAATAATTATTATTATATTATTATTATTGTTATTTCTGCCCGTTCTCCTTTGAAATTGTTGAAGATTTCTTGGATCGTTAAGATATTACTGAAACTATTTGTTCCACTTTTTTGTTAGTCATTTTATTTTTAAGTACTTATATTATTTAAATAATAGCATACGTGTAACATTATCTTGGAGGACCATTTCCCTTAACCTGAATTATCGCTGGTAACAGTGTCAATATTTTAGCAAATGTTTACATTTTATTAGTATTCAATAAGTAAAACTCAATCTTACTTCAAATTAGAAATCATAATCCCAAATTATAAGGTCATCAATCATCATGTAAAATGTCTACTAACTGCGTAAAATACAGTAGCAAATCTTCTTTTCATAGACCTGTCGAATCATTTTAGAAAACACAATACACAAAACGTAGTTGTGATCTTTTATATTCTTTAACTTAAGCCTTAGATTAAAACAATAAAACCGGCTTTTTTGTTTTAATCTAAGACTTAATCAGGTAAAATTACATTTCAATTTTTCATGTGTATTAGAAAAAAGCTGAAAAAATTACTAGATAAAAGTCGCAATGTTATCGTAACTACTCAAATAAAAAGCCAAATTACTCACCATCCTGCTTGACGGTGTTGCCCAAAGGTCCGCAGCTGGCGAGCCACACGAACAAGATCCACCTCAGCATGAGTCCGTAGCCTCGCAGCTCGGGCTGGTTGTGGAAGTGTCTGGCAGTCGGCCGGCACCGCGGGCGACCCATGGTCCACACCTCACATCTGACGGTTGGCACCGCTTGTCCAATCTCATTTGTCGACCAATCAACAGTAAACGCGAGCTTCGGAAAGTTGGCAACAATTGCCTACTGTCATTATAGCAGTGAAAGATTAAAAATACACAATTAGAGCATTAAATTACGCTCAACACTGTTGTTATCAAAAGCTCTGAAATGACAATTTGTAAATTTTTAACTTAATGGTAATGTGTTGTCAATGTCTTTGAGATCTTATTTTATTTAAATTTCTACGGTCCGCACTGCTTTGTTGATACCTATTACCAGTGCTGTCTTTGACCTATTGGAGGCCCTGGGCATATTAGGATAATGGGGCCCCTACGACTTCCGTTTGGTGATTTAACAGGAACTAGGGACTTTGTATTTGATCTGAGGGGGCCCCCTATCGATCGCGAGGCCCTGGGCACTTGCCCAAAGTGCCTAATGGGAAAGACGGGTCTGCCTATTACACTAAAACATTCAGAAACAATAAACACACTTCATTCTAATTAGAACTTTTTAAAATAGGCGTTGGCTATCTTTTTAAAGTGAAAATGAAGTAGAGTATTTGATACGAGTTAGGTATCCGTAGTTTTGTAATAAGTTGCAAGAGACGGATAGCCGAACAATGACTGTCTTGGTCAATACCAAAAGGATTGTAGAAAATTGTAGTGATAACCGAAAAATAAACAATGATAAATATATTTGCTATTTTATATTCCTTTCTTTTTTACCATTGATCGTGTATGTTTATTATGGGGTTGTTTATATTGGGTTTATTATATATAATATTATTATTATGGGGGTTAGTAAAAATCTTTTTCTTTCTTTCTAATGTAAGCCCGTGCGCGAGTCCTTCTCGCACTTGGCCGGTTTTTGTAGGTGGACAGCACATGTATATTTAATTTCAGAAGACGGATGTAAAAAGACGTCAATTGTGAAAGAAGCAATGTTTCAAATTAAAAAAAATTAAACGTTCGTATTACTTCTTTATGTAGCTTTGAAATTTTTATGAAGCCCCATTTAATAAATAAAAAAAATGTGATATAAAGTAAAAATAAAACGCATGTCTGTTAAGATTTAAATCAAGACACCTCTGATAAAGACTGTTTGATCACCCATTATTATAGATTAATTACTGACAATATCAGTTTTAGACATTACTAATCACTGCTTATTGTAAGGCTTTTTTGCGCGGGAAATACAACAGCTGACGCTTTGTATATTTTTCTTTCAGTACCAGACTACGGAGTACAATAAAGCCATGACGCTTACGAATATTCGTCGTGTTAGGTAATAGCATCGATATAAATATATATATTTCACGCACTTACTTAGAAGTAGAAGAATAGAATCTTTTACTAGAGTTATTAACTATTATAGAAATTTATGTTATTTACGGTATTGTTACCATGTACCTTGTTTTTAGCGAGCATCAAGCAATCAAACAACGATACGCATAAATCAGACATCCCGGAACATTTGATTAATTCTGATCCTAACCACTGGATTGAGTTCCTCAACCCACAGATTATCCCAACAGAACTACATACCTAAATTGGTCAGGGAAGCGAATGAAATAACAAAACATAAAAATTTCAATCGTGAGGACGGGTTCTTATTGTATAGTGTCTGGAATCCTGTGGTTCGTATGTATAAAAAATTTGTAACTGTATAAAAATATGAGAGTCGCAAATCGTAGTCGTTATTAAACAAAGTTATTAGGTCAAAAAAAAAACAAAAATATCGTATTTTTACGTAACCGAGGTTTCATGCAAAGAAGAATAATTCCTTCATCGAAGCTACGGTTTCGTAGACAGCCGAAGAGCTCGTGTGCGCCGCGTATGGTGCGGGCATATGTGCGATCGCCTTAATGAAGACATTTAAGTTTTCGAAAATAATGTAAGCTTAAAAAAATCTCGTGAGAATCTTAGAGTCCATACCTTTGTATGAATTCTTACTAAACTGACGAAACAGTTTCATTACGAATTCTATGTAGAGTTGCCCCCACCCTATCATTCGAATGGCAAACATCTGAAAGGTTTCACGTCCATTTCTCAGCGGCGCAGGAAATGGAATAGAAAAATCAGAGTCACTTTCCATGATGACTTAAAAGCTTGCTTATCGACAATCTGAGCGTTTTGATTTATCGAGGCCGCCTCGCCCTTACCTGCCGGCCGCGGGTACCACACCACTCACATAATATTACTTTTGCTTGTGGCAGCGACATCTATATGCCCCACATATAACTAACATTGAGGGAATAAACACTCGCCTTCTCAAGAGATGGCGCTACCGGCGCTGCGTTCACAACGTAAGGAAGCCTACATCGCGCAAGCGAAATTCGGCAGCCAACAGTTCATATATACGATGCCCGACCAACATCAGTCGGGCCGCGGCCCCCGAGCTACCCTCACCCAGCTCGGAGGAAGATCTTCCCCTTTGGCCTTCCCACATGCTTAAACACAAATTTTGGAAGAGAACTACTCAAAAGACAAAAGGAGAATAAGATAGCTAGGGCATATTTGATTTCCCACTCGTAGTGGTTGCATTGCAGCTCTCGTCACGAGCAGAAACCTTCATCGTAAACAAGACCATAGTGAAAGAAACCAAGCTTTTGGTGATGCTGTGTCTCTGTCGGAGTGTAAGGATTTCAAGTTAGGCAATGATACTCCCTTATGTTGCAAGGGTACAAGCTCTTATTTGTTTAAAGTGACTATTGGTGGCTTATTACTATCAGGCGAACACAGCCATGATTGCTGTTATTTTCACTAAAGAAATTGGTAAGATGTGGCAGCATAGGCAAATTATTTTTATTAAATAATGAATAAACGAAGCCATTAGCAGACAGGTGCCAGTATAAACCCATCAAATAATTATTAATACTTTTTAACACGAAGACAACAGCGCAGCTTCTTCTAACAAGAAATTCGCGAGTTGAAATATCAACGAAGCGTGTTCTGATATGAACGACGAAGGCGCTTCAATAATTCCCATTGTTTTACTCCAAACAGATTTGACGACACCGAAAGTGGCGGATTGGGGAGTGTGATAATTAAATTTTTGCCCCTTAAATTAAGCTTTCAACTGCCTTTTTACCTTTAAGGAAAAGCACAAAAATATCGCCGAAATTTATAATAAAACGCCCCGAAAAAACAAGAAATGTCAAAACAGATAATTCTGCCTTTGTAATTCTTTGTTGATTTTTCATTCTCACAATTGTTTTTAAAAATGGGGTAGGGCATAGTAGATTTTCCACTCAACTTGAAATAAATAAAATTAAGAATATTTTTATTCAAATTGGAAGTTTAGACAACTCTTTTGAGTAGAGCAAAATTTTTTCTACCAACTACTTATTGGTGTATCTAGTGATGGGAAAGACTATAAGCACCATCACCATATGCTAAGCTCCTTGCATGGCTATTTATACTTGTCTAATTTTAAAGCAGTACCTATATCCTTACCATGCTCTTCAGGGAATGATAAAGAGAGACTGCTGTTAAAAGTTTAGGCAAATACGAAAAGATATGTGAAGTCTTAGAATGATGGAGCTTAACAATGAAACACTTTTATTTGGTGATGTTATAAGAGTAAGGTTTTCTTATCGCTTTAGGATAAGAGGTAAGTTCAGCGGTATGTTCTGCTGCCGTATAATCAGATCGGGTGAAATAGTTTTCAGAGGCAGTATCGAACGATTAGGTGTAAACGGTTTTTAGATAAAAGTACGCTCTAATCATGACAACATCCCGTGTTATTAACCTTGTATGATGGATATTGATATATTTATTGATTCACTTCCTAAGCTCAAAAGAATATTGTCCCAAACATGGCATCAAACTAACTTATTAAGCTTGATATTTATATGAAAACTGTATTATAATTTATAATTAAAAAGAACAACGTCAAAACTTAGAAAATAAATAATAATGACAATAATATTGTAATGAACTTAATGTCTACATTTAGCGTCTTCTTTAATGCATGCGGTGTTTACCTCAATAGATTGTTTCACTAGAGTGTCTAGTTAATCTTGTTAATAGTTTTACGTAATGTGTAAACAAACACTGGTAAACCACATAATTAATAAATAAAAAGCCTTGATTTTCGCAAAGCTTAAGGCTATAACGGTGTCGATTCTGGCGTGATTTTCTTAACTTAAAACTAGATTTAACATCAGTCCTTTTCATTCTGTATAAAGAATGACAAGGATATACTGTCGACAAATTTGAGTTTAATTTTGGCAATGACACCCACTACATGATACATTCTGAACAAGGAGCCACTCGATCAGCGAAACTCCTAAACGCTAATGACAGTGGACACGATAACTCACCGCCACCCACCGGCGACCCCACGCAAACTGTTAAATTTATCAATTACACCAACCGAACATCCACCCTACTACCTCATAATAGAAGTTACAAAGCGATGACGTATACGAGAATTTCCACCGACACGCGATCTGCTTATTGGAAGAACAAAAATAACATTATTAGCCCATGAACGGAGCCAGCAGCGCGACCTATGATCGCGTTCAATCATTTCGCTATTATGATAATAAATTTTGGGAGCTTCGTGACCGTTTCTAGGTCATCCTGAGGGGAATGCAGTAAATTTTGTGCTGCCTAAGCAAATGGGGCAGAATTCGGGCGATTTGTGAGCTTGCGGTGCTATTGGATTGTGTGTCGAAATTGAATCGGATTATGTTTGATTATCCTTTGGCGTATTGTTGAGCGTAAATTTTTGGTCATTTTTAAATTGAACTCTTTTATCAGCAGCCTTTTAATCCCCTCTTCGCAGCGTATGAGCAAACGAGACCAGAAAATATGGAAATGGGAAGCCGGGATATTTACTAGGATATAAATGAGTATGGATTGTCGGATGTTAATGACTGGTGTTCAGTTAATCCTGTTTTACGAACACGCAGGTCGTTTTAATAGATTTTTTTATCACCCTTAAAGCAAATGAATGAAATAAATTATATAAACCCTGCAAACGCAGAACGCATTGGCGCTATCGACCTCCTTATGTTTAGGTCTCTCAATGAAAATAGTCTGCACAGTAGGCAAAACATCAGAATATAAATATACTTATTCCTTTACTAATCAAAGGCGAAAACTTTTCAACGTCTCTCTGTATACATCATCCTGTAAATGGCGCTCTAGACATACGAAACACCTTTACAGCTTAATTGGTTTTTAAATCAGAGTGTCTCAATAAAAAGTACGATTGCGCTCGTATGAAACGTGCACGAATCGTTAGAAAACAGTTCTTATTACGAAACAAGGAGAGTCTTCGTAGCCCTTGGGAGAAAAAAAATACCCTATTGACGAGTCCGAATAGCCAGGTAAGCTCGGATTGGGGCACAAAAGATCTGGCCGCGCATTTCATGCCTCGCATGCCCATTCATTGCTTGTCAAAACCCAAGAGTGGACTCTTTTCTAATGTTCCCATTTTTACCTCAGCTTCGCCTTTGTTGGTTTTTGTGTGGTGCACAGTGGTTTTATTAGTTTTGGATGTTCTGATACAAGCAGGTGTATCTGAATGGTAGAGAATTTTATCTAAACTATAGTCTTCATTAGTGTTCAAACATCTGCCCAAAATTATTAGTGACGATATAAATTGATGACTGACAGCTGATAAAAATTAATGTAAAAGGTCTATAAAATTAATTTGAAGATATTGACTTCATTCATGGTTTAGCTGATCTTATAACTTCCATGGAATTATTCATTTTCTATTTCTTAAGTAATAAGCTCACAAAAATTATTTTAATATATTGTTTTAAACTTTCATGGTCACTAACATTATAGCTATTAACGGGATTGTTACCATGTACCTTGTTTTGAAAAATATTTATGAAAAATAACAGGCTATTACAGACCATAAATAACATAGGGATTCTTTTTTCGCTTCCCACTATAAATAATGGACCTTTTCCGTTTTTATTCTTATTCAAGGTAGCAGATGTTTGTGGTTTACTTGTTCAAGAGTTGTTCACGGTATCAAGATGTATCATTATACGTAACTTGATTGCATACTTTTTGGTTCGTCGATATCAACAGCTGCATATTAAAAAGACTCTTATTACTGTTGAATACGGTATGTTAAGGTATTTGTCTGATTGCTGGTTTCTCCATTTCACGTTGTATTTAACTGGAAACATCGCTATCTCATTGTTCTTTCTAATCGCAGGCTGTTTGAGACTTTTGAAAAGATTTAATACCAATTAAGGCTATTCTAAAAACATAATTCTGTATCTTTATTATATCTTAAATATTAGTTATTTAAAAAATGTGCAACGAATTTTCTTTATCCCAAAGTATAATAAGTTACACATTTACTTACTTATTAACACTACATCGATTTCTGTCATCTCAAGTACCTATATGATGTAAGTAGTCATATTTGTTGAAAATATTTAGCACTAAGAAAAGGCAGATATATGATAAAAAAATGCGTCTCTTAAATTAGATATTCATTGTGCAAATGGACATTAATAAGTGTTATAAATGATATTTAAATAACTGACGATAACATTTTTTCTCTTCATTCATTACAAAGAAAATACGATACAATTTGGTACGGGAATACATCAAGTCACTGCCATAAGTAATGCCTTATCGTTGCTAAGGGTGTGAATCCATTCGGAAATAAGTCGATCAAACACAACGATCGGCTCCTGACATGGGACAAGCTTGGAATAAAACGCGGGGCTCAGTTTAGCTGGGATTTGGAAGAAGCTTATGATGAAATTAATATTAGGATCAATCTGTAGCTCCACTGTGATTTGGCTGTATATGCGGAAGGGTATAAAGTAAAAGATTCTCTACTAAACGGGTTAAAGTAGAAAACGTCACGGTGTTTTATTTTTTTCATGCTCAGTAATCAGTAAGTATTAGATTTATTGTGACCATTAAATTGTTAGCTTAGCGTAAATAACTTTCAAATTAATTTCTCATACTGTTAGAAAAGTGTAAGTTCGATTCGCAACTGTGAAGTTTCATGACAATATTTGAACAATCAAAAACACCAACCATTTGTTAGTTTAAGAAAACAAACTTGCTACAAAAGCCTTTCTACTAGGTAGTTTATTTTTAAAACAGAGCAAAGTAATTAACCAGTCTATCAAAGTTGCAACACGGTATTTAACAACAGCAAAGAAACATAAAATTTCCACCGATAAAAGCCGAAGAATCGAAACAAGTTTTGTAGTCAATAAAAATTGTTCTGTAGCAGTAATAAAACTATGACAACACCAGCTAATAGTCTCTGCAGCCGGCCAGCACCCTGATTGGATTTTGCAGCGACAGAAATTTGTTCATTTGAATTCTGATTCTATCGGGCCGTTTCTTTTAATGTAAATTTTATTTCTCTATCGGTTACGAATCTGTTCGCAGGGGTCACTCGGTATTCTAGATCGGTATAGATTTTATCTGGCCCCCCGGAATTTTTATTAACTGTTTTTATTTAAATGTCTATACGAATTGATTTAAATTTTATTAGTTATACATTTTACATGATTGATTATTCCTATTGTAACTCGTATTCTATCACATACTTTACAGCATGCTATGTCGAGGGTGATGTAGAGTCGAACCGCACAGTACTACTCGTACCACTGGACTTCATTCTCTGATAAGGATATACTGTTGTCAAATTTAGTTTTGGATTTAAGGAATCGAGTACGGATTGTCAAGCGCAATTTTTACTTAATTAGTAAATATGAATTCATTTTATGAATCCAGATTTTGATTCAGACTGTGTAAGGTCATCCTTAGTCTATCATGTACTGAATAAAATGTAGTCTAATACGGCTTTAAGACCAGGCAGCAACTTTAATAAATTACACTCGACTACACTTTCTTATCAACGTACGCATACATCAGAGAGATTTCCAATAAATTCCTTGTAAGATTTCCTTCAACCTCCTTTTTACTGAAATATTCGGTAACTGCTCAATTTTGATAATGATGAATTTGTAATAAGGCCCTGTTCCATTGAAGCGTGCCGCGTGACAGTGACAGCGAAGCGCTCGTTCAGACACAACTGCGATCACCTCACTCACTGCTGCTCACTGAGCAAACGGGAAATGAACAACTCCGTCCAATTTAAGAAGTTTTGCCAATAATTATCATTATTCAAGATTTATTTGAGACTACGCAAATTGTATTGGACTTACATCTATAAATATAATAAAATGGTAGGAAAGTCAAAATTGTATTTTTTTTAAAAGAATACTTGGAGTGTGATCTACTATCAATACCGAAGCCAAATTATATAGTTTTTAGAATTTTTGTCTGTATGTATGGGATAAACTAAAAAAGTACCGCATGGATTTCTAAATATAACATGGCGTCATATCCAAAATTAGCGCATTTAAATAAAAGCTTGTTTTTAAAAAAAAAAAAAATTATTTTATAGTCATAATTGTTTTATCATTTACATTTGTAATGGAAAGTGACTTCATGAGTTATCTCATATTGAAGTCATTTTTTAAATTGACGACACTGTATATAATACAGCGACAAAAAACAGCACTTGCTGAGTTTCTTGCCGGTTCTTCTCAGTACAAGGTCTCCCGCCGTAGATTTGCGAACCGATGGCGTAGCTTTTCGACATTCACAAGTGCTTGTAATAGCCTAGACTGAATAAACGATATTGTTTTTTTTTTGATTTACTTCAAATTTGGCACGAATATTATTAAGAATTCGGGTCAACATATAGGCTACATATTATCACGCTATCACCTACGGGGAACGAACAGTGACCCTTTATTTCTAACTAACTCCACGCGTTCGAAATCGCGGGCGGCGGCTATAATCCTAAACAGTATTTTGATTTACTATTTGTTCGATCAGCGAATACATCTTTATTTTATGTTAAATTTACTGAACATTATGTTCAGCTTGTATGTTCACAGACACTTTGAAAAAACTAATATCTCAAAATTCCAGTCTACATCAGACTGTAGAACAAAATTGGATCCATCGAAACAGGACTTCACATCTGTAAGATAATACGTCGTTTAAAGTGATTATAGTAATCATTACATTTAAGGGGATACTGCGACAGTTCTGACGAGAGTTAGTTATAGATAGGGGACGTCAATCATCCAAGGGTTATGTCTGAAGTCTCGAATTACTTAGGTACTGTGGAACTGTCAAGAAGTTGAGTTGCTTATTAATAGCTTATGGATGGTATGATTTTAAGAGTGTCTTATGTTATATGGTATATCGCTTGTAATGATATTGTGTTTTTTTTTTTATAATTGGTGCCCGAATGGCTCTCATGTCGAGCTGCCAACGGTTAGGTTCAATATTAATTTGCCAATCCGCAATCCGGTATCATCAAGTTTCTTTAATATAGATATACAATAACAGAATTATACTACATCGAAAGCATTTAAGCTCCAATGAATCAAGAATAATGGATGTTTACGATGTTCATAAATATTTATTAGTTTGGTTTTGTTTAGTTTCAGAATTTAATTGCAGTAACTTTGCAGTTGTTCTGTGGCATAATGATGGCCCCAAAACTAAAACGTATTCCAATCTCCTTTATTTTTATTCAAATCGTGTACTATTTGCTATGTCAGTTCAGATTTAATGGTACCCTTCTCTAACTAATCGCTCTGTTTGACTATTGTTACGAGTGTACATTGTGTTGGAAACCGCAATATATTAGGATATGTTGGTTTGTTTGTATTTGATTATTTGTTTAGTGGGGACCTTTCTAAACGGACGCTGTTTGTTTTATTTACATTGCAGTAACTGCGGTACTAATTTATGTTCAGCTTTTTTATGTCTCGTGGTGATATAGATTTTATCTGTGAAAGTTATTTTTATGGCGTGGCATAATGGGACTGTGCGTGTGGAGTTAAGATCCCTTTGACATTAAATAACGTTTTTGAAATTTATGAAACAAAAAACCAAAAATTATTGTAGTTAGCTATGATGCTTTATGTAATCATCATTTAAACTATTTTTACCTCTTTGAAAGCAACGATATAAAAAAAATATTAAAATTAAACAAAGTCGATTCTCAGTGAGAAAAAAGACAATTAAATCACCCTCGGTCATGCGAAAGAAATATACGCATGAATTGTTTGCAGTAGTTGATGTTTCTTTGTTTAGGGGCGTGACACGTGGCAGGCCGCCGTCTGTCTCACAGACTTAAATTATAAATTATACCGTACCGCTCCGGAATAGGGCCTATTGGGGACGACTCCTTTTGCGTAAAAAACTGTCAAAGTATAGATTGCAAGTTGTCAGTCACGAATGAAGTGTCAACCAGCCGTAGGCCCACTTTTTCGGTTGATCGCACACCTGTTTAGGGACTGAAGGGATGGCAGTTAATAGAAATAAATAGGTTTATAGTTCGGAAATAGATTTTGGGTCAACAATCAATTATTGGCAGGTAATTGGATTCGGAGGCAGCAATTTATGAACGAATAATTGACTAACCAACTCCTTCAAATTATATGTCAACACCATTAAGTAAATTGATTGGTTTAAATCAAATCTTAAAATCGTATTTCTCTCAAAGGTCTATCCAAATTGTTTACATTTCGAGTGTTATTATTTGTGCAGCTTTTTACGAGTTCATTATCGTCCATCCAAGTTTACGATCGATCAAATATTATAATGAATTCTTGGCGTCGAGATGAACAAATGTAAAGCGGTCGGATTCTGATTGTGAGAGCCGTAGAAACCGGTCGAAACGCTGATAACTTCCGGAGCAAGAAATAAGTCGTAGACGGGATAGTTTCAACTCTTATTTTTGTTGGGTTCACATGCTTTCGTTTCTTTTGGCTCAGTACGCTGGCGTGGTATTGGATTTTCTTGAAGGATTATTTTTATTGCGGCTTGCTCATTGTTCGACTGGCTGCTCGAATTCAGAATTTGGGTTTGTATATTCTCAACTGAATGTTTGTTGGTGAAGTTGTAATACCATTTTCTATTTTTGTTCCGAAGGTTTCCTTAGTTCTGCGCCAATAATTTTCTATATACGGACAGTATAGCTAACACAGCTATATTTCTTTCAAGTACTAATATATCAAGTGAAGCCATTTGTTTCACTGTACCATAGAACAATAAGAAGTGTTTTCTTTCAGTTGAATTAATAAATGTAATGTGCCAAGAAATCCATCTTCTAAGAAATGTGTTATCTTTAGGGGTTCAAAGGAGCCATTATAAAGCGACTGAAGTTGTTTTGCAATAAATCTATTAATTTAGATGACTCGCTCGCGGCGCCGATAAATCTGGGAACCCTTACTAAGTTCAGTTTTTTACCAGCCAGCCAGCTATCGTATGATTTATACCACCAATGAATACAAGTTTGACAGTTAAAGCAGACCAACTTTCGGCCTGAGAAGAAATTGGTTTGACTGGCGTTATTCAGACAGTATAATGGGGGCACCGTAATGGTATTATAATATCAATGTCCTTCTGGCGGCGGCGAGTTGAAGTTTTATTTTGCTTCATAATAATCGATGGATTTTGGCGAAAGGCACAAATGATCTGTTATCCATATTGAGTTTTATGTGTCTTGTAAGAATGTAATTACATCGTTTGTAGGAGTAATTGTTGAAATAAAGGCAAGAAAGGCGAGGACAGGGAATCCTTATAATAATCGACCACTAAGCTTTTGGTTACTAAATTAAAAGATTCATTAAAATGTAAAAAGTTGTAACTTGTTTCTCTTTGTGTAAATATATATTTTATAACGATCACAGAATTTTGATGTATAAACATGGCAAAAATGAGTCTTGTTGTAGTTGGACTCGTCAGAAATTCATGTTTATGTTTTTTGTTAAATCTATAAATTTTCAAAGCTATTTTATCATCATTAGATCTTTGAATGTCATTCACTTTAGTCTGATTCTAGTTTAATTATGAATTGAATTCGGATCACATTAAAGCGAAATGATAAATCAGCTTTCTAACATTTCCAATGAAACTTAAAGCTGTATTATAGAGTCATATAATTGCTAACCAACAATAGTCGAAGTCGACTCGAGGGACAAGTTCGGCAGATCTAAATCTAGACCAAAGCCAGACAGGTTAATAACTGGAATAGAGCAGGAAATTAGTTCATACAGACTCATCTGCACAAAGGAAATAGCAGTTTAGTCCCAGTCTGGGGGGAGGACAATATTCATGTGCATAATAGAATTGTCATGTTTTAGAACAAATGCAAACGCATTGTGTTATTTACAAGGAATATTGACTAAAAGTGGGTCAGCAAAGTATGATATGGAAATCTGCAATTGTAGGAAGAAAAATTTCGATTTGTATTGATTACATAGGGAAAAAATATCAATGAAACGGAAAATACAAAAGGTTTTATCCAAGTAACGATCTAACAAGATAAAATTTTTAAAAACAAAGAGAATCCTGTAAATCGATTGAAATAACGAAGAATAGTTGCAATGTTTACTTATATCATTCAATAGAAGGGATGGTATCGCCAGTGAACCCTTTCTACCGAAAAACCCGTTGCATCACAACACCGAAACGATTACACTGCGGTCGTAAATCAAAATAAGCATGCGAACCAAAAAATTTGCAACACAAATGGGCACTGCAGTGTCTAGTGCAGAGCTTTTTGTTTGCGGGTGAAAAGAAACCTGCTGATTAGCATATTCCATAGGAAACCCACCCCTTTGCGGTAGCGAGGTTTATTCCAAGGAATCACTATCAGACCTAATGTTGACAACACATTACCGATTAAGCTTCCACACTCGCTGACGATTTATCGTACAAAATGTTGTTTTATATCGTTATTCACGTTACGACGCCGCGCAAAACTCCACGGTAATCATCACTGGCACTAGTGGATACACTTTTTTCTTTGAAAACAGACACTGTTTCATACACAAATATGCATTGCTGTAGTGATAAGGGTAGGTTATTGTGATGGATTGGTTATTTTGTTGTGTGGTGAAGCGGCGTGGTGACGCGCGATGTAGGCGCGTCGGTTGCGCGCACACGACTAAACGGATACCCCGGGCAAGCGTTGTCGTCCCGGCCGGTGAGCCACGTTCCGTTCCACGTAAACTATTGATTAGTAAGCAGTGAAATATTTTTGAGAATCATATTTGGTTTGTACTGTGTACGACAATATCACTGTCATAGAATTGTTTCTATGACAGTGATATTGTAGTCTGTAATTCAGTTTCTGGTAGCTTTTTTGTTACTTGTCTACGCTGTATATTTTTACTATTATTACTGTGTGCATAAAAAAATAGGATTTTCACTATTTATTTATTTTATTTCAATCAAGATAAGTAGATTGTACCCTCAGTGCGATCTTTGATAGATGCGTAATCGCATCGCATTGTCAAAGTTCGTATGGAAACTAAGCAGCGCTCCTACCGGGCACAAGAACAAACTGGCTCCTTCCATAAAAAAAATTAAGACGTAAATACGATTCTGTCGAAGTTAGTGCTAGGGGTACTGAATATTCCTTGTTTTATTTCACAACGAAAAAATAAATTGCTTGGTTAAGAATGTATGCGTAGAACGGAACACGTGGCAAAATTTGGCAGCACTAACGCCATCTCTTTTGCTCGATAGCAGACAAAGGTGACAGTGCGGTGCATGCTCCAAGTCGGGCTAACTTTGTGCTACCCTTCCCAATGTACGGTTACCCCGCCCAGTTTAACGAGAGCTTTACAATCGCTCGGCCCGCTACTAACATGTTTCATTTTAATATGAAGCGGGAGAGGGTTGGCATGTCCACTTAAACTGGTAGTTACATAAAATGTAGGGCTGCGATTTTAGGGCTAACAAATTAGAAAGGGGAGAAAAAACGTTCGAACGTCAGGTTTATTGACATTTTGTCGGGCGATAATTAAGGCTTAGTGAGGGGTTCCGAACGTTATCGACACACCGTTAAATTTTAAAGCTTTGGATTTTCGTTTCAATTAGTTCGTTCCAATTGGCTCGCAAATGAGGTAGTAAGGGATTTCTAATTTTTATGGGCTTTCTTTGTTTAACGAGAGTTTAATTTCTTGTTGTCGTGAGCACGGCCCATTTAGCATTGATGTTTACAAATGGCATGAGTACCCGAATTTTAATTGTATTTAATTGTACATAGGTATATTTTATTTATAAATATTCCATTAAATCAACTGTAGTTTTATTGAAACTCTACTTTTGAAAGTTTTTAGGAATAGCAATTGATGAAGTGGTAAGGTCATAATACCCGTTACGTTTATGAATAAAAAGATTTTTAATTACATACTAGTTTTTACTCGCACCTTTGTAAAACTTAAGCATTTCTTCTATATATGATAATATCTACGTTCTGAATAATTATATTATTTTACATCTTGAATTATATTATTTTTATAACGGAATTATGTTGCATTAAACTACATGTCATTATGGAGTTCGATGGCGCAAATGGTTAGCGCGTTCGGCTGCGATAGTTAAAGTTAAGCAACTTTCGTAGTGGTCGGGAATTGGATGGGTGACCAATAATTTACTATTTCGAGCTCCTCCGTGCTTCGGAAGGCACGTTAAGGCGTTGGTATCCGGCTGTATCTGCAGTCGTCAGCAATAACAATCCAAACTGGGCCCGCGTGGTGGGTCATGTCCAATCTCCCTATTCCATCCATAGGGAAGGCCTGTGCTCCAGCAGTGGGGACATTAATAGGCTGATGACGATACTTTTTAGGTGGAACCGACCTCTTTTATATAAATATTGTTGCTGTTTTTGAATATTCTTGACCTTTCCCTTGTTACTCATTATAAGCATCAATACAGAAAAAATCTAATAAAAAGGTATCAGATAAGAAAATATTAGTGTGCAACATTTTACCCAAATCTGCTCAGCCGTTTTTGCGTGTATTATTGAGTAATGATCTTAGAACCTTCGACATTTATATTAATGAGAATGTTGAAGTAAACTTATAGATCTGGTTTCCGCAGTTCTTTTGTTAAGCCCTGACTTTTGTTAAGACAATAAAAATATTTAACTGTCTTAAATAAAATATTTTTTAATAAAAATAGACCCGACTTTTAAAAGACTGAAAATTAAAAAAAAGGATTAACCAACTGATATATTAAGCAGTCGGTAAATCTTTTAATGCAAAGAGATGGCGCTGCCTTGCAGCCTAAGAAATACTAGAGAAAATTTGACACGGACAATTAGGGCCGCGGTAGCATAATGGTCAGTGCATCCGCTATATCCGCCGGATAGCGTAGGGTGCGGATTCGAATCCCGTCTGCTGCGTGGTCCGCTTGGAATTATTTCTAGTAAAATTTTCTTTAGATTTAAACATCTTGCCGTTAAACGCTTACAATTTAGTTAGCATAACCCCAAAGTAATCACTGCAAGGTTTGAGCTAAGGGATGCTAGGTAGGGTTACTGATAAACGCGGAAGAATCCCTAAACGGGGACCCCTGACTCGCACTAAGCAGCTTAGAGGGTGTTCGCAGGGTTTTTTAGCGGATATTATGCCGCAAAGCACCCGTAAGAGTTACGGGGTCCACTGTGGGCAGCCACTGCGGGAGCCCGTAAAGCTTGCGGGAGCCAGGTGTGAGGTTCGTTCGGCGGTGTGCCTCTTAAAGGCGCCGTCGTCTGTAAACTAAGGTTTTGCCTGCGTTAGCAAAAAAAATGGTAGGGTAACTGATGACGCGGTGAAGTCCCACAACGGGGATCTCGCGGTTTCACACTTAACAGCTTAGAGGGTATTCGCAGGGGTTTTTAGCGGATAGTATGCCGCAAGCGCTCGTAAGCCGTAAGACTTGCGAGAGGGTAGGGGTAAGGTCCGTTCATTGGTGTGCCCCTTATGGGCGCCAACGTCTGTAAATAGAGGTTTTGTCAGCGTCTTAAAAAAAAGGTAGGGTAACTGATAGAAGTACAAGCTTTGATACATAGATAAGTGGGTATACTTTTGTAATTTATGTAAATTGCCACGATTCAGGTGCAATTATTTGACTCTATCAGGATTTGAACCGTAACCACCTAGACGTCGGTGAATGAGTGAGTTGCACGGGAATTCTCAATTTACTATAAATGTAGTATTTGTTTTATTCAGTTACACTTTTTTAATCTTCTAGCTGGACTAGAAGGGAAGAAGACTTTTCCTAACAGATTCCTACTAAAAGCTCAATTTACGCACTAAATCTATAAGCGATGGACTCTGGACTGGCTATTTGTTACTTTTGTTTCCGAATAATAAGTAAACTATAAGTAATTTGAAAGTGCCGTCGTGTAGGTGAAGACATAGTTATGGGAAAATCTATAATTAAATATAAAGATTTTTTTATAGAAAAAAAAAACAACTCGATCCATGTCTCTGACAGGAGTCGAACCCGCATCTTCCCGGATAGCGGAGGCCGAATCCTCGAATTACAATCCCTTCTAAGTCCGAGTTGAATTTTTTCTAGTAAAATTTTCAAATTTATTTATTAAATATCTAGCTTAAAAAAATAATATAATAATATGTATACTAAAATAGGTTGCTTTCAGCCATACTCGGAAACACCAAACTAATTTTATGTCATTTAGGTCCAGACATGTAGCGCCATCTGGTTAACTTTCATATCCCTATCACTCTGTAAAGCAGGTTGTTCTTCATAAGCTCAAGCGAGCCCTCTCTTTGAGGCGTAGTACTACCAAAGCTCAACAGATGTCACTCGATGTTTCCGTTGTGAACTCTACATTTATAAGTCGTCTTACAGTTTTTATTAACGATTTAGTTTACATTAAGACCTCATTATATTTTACAAATAAACAAAAAACATTTTAAATATTACACAGGTAGCACAGTACCCCTAGCATGAACCATTATCGAATTCGAATAGTTGCGAGTGAAAAATGTTAAAGTCAAATTTTGTATGGAAACTTGAACAGCAGCGGCACAATAGTACAGTCAATCTGTCGAAAAAAATATCGTTTCAGTGAAAAAAAAACCTAAAGGGTAAGTCTTGTTTTTTCTGTTGCCAAATGACAGTTCAGGTTTTGGGCAGTTCAAGTACACATTTGCAGTGCACATTTCAATGTACGTTTTTACTATTTTTTTTTTCATTTTTTTTTGTTTTTCAATCATGAAAAACAATAAAAAATTGTAAAACGTACATTGAAATGTGACCTGCAAATGTGTACTTGAACTGCCCAAAACCGCTCTATTGGATTTTTCATACCTGCGCAATTTATAACTTGAAAACGGTAAGTAATACAAAAAAATTGTTTATACAAAAGTTGTTGGTAATTATGTACGAAACAACTTAGCCATTTAAAGTTTTCCATTCAAATGATATTTTCAGGGTGAAAAAGTGAAAAAACACTTTTTTGAGACTTTAGCGCCACCTACAATGCGCATTTTTTGTTGTACGAGATTGCAACACTGACATAAATTGTAGTACTCAACGCCCTCTACAATTATGGTCGAAAAAAAAGTTTCTAAAATGCATACAAAACAAGAATCATGCGTTTCAAAAAATTTTTGACGGTTTTTTTGAGTTTTTCAAAAAACGCCTACGAGTTGAACATGCCCATCGCCAAGGTGGCTTACTGACGTCATTTGGCAACAGAAAAAATAAGACTTACCTTTAATTTTTTTTTCACCACTCAACCTACAGATTGACTGTACTACAAAGTACGTAACGAGAAATAAAAATCAGTACACATTTGACAATGACATTTTGGACTCGCAAACGATACCAATTCGATATTGGTTCGTGCTTAGGGTTCTGCAGCACGCAGTGGATGGAAATTGTTGAGGTTGGCCTGCACTAAGATGGTTGAAAAATAGCGCTGAATAAAGGTAGGACGATATAAATATTTTTATCTATGATATTTTTATTTAAGCACTAAAATCAGGAGTCAAAAATCAGGCTCCTCAATCCATACATCATCAGCGCGATACGTTAGCAGAGTTAACTTTTTTAAAGTGATAAATAAAAATGTCGATCTATGAGAAATTGTTGAAAGAGCGGAACTTGTACGAATAAATCTAAAGATTTTTGAAACTTACCCCCTCACCCCGCGCCCTGAAGCATAATCACAATGACGCAACAAAATTTATCTTCAAGTCCTGAAGTTGGACCATATTTATACAATGTACTCGCCGAGTCGACGGCGCAACATTATCATTAAGTCGATTGCAATGTAGTACGAGTTTCACCGCTTGTAGTACTTATACTTACTTATCTGTAAAAAATAAAATCAGTTTTAACCGCGGAATCCGGAGTGCGATTTGAAAGGATGATGCCAAGGTTTGTATGAAATCTGGTCCCACCTTCCAAGAGCTACGTGTGTTACATCGTTGGATAGGTATTTTTGAGCTGAATAAACTTTTCTTTCTGAATAAACATTCACACCAGTGTTCAAAGAGGAAGACATATTCGTATTCTCTCTGACAGCGCTTCTGTCCTACAGGCACTGGACAACAATATAATGACATCAGGCTTAATTTAGGAATGCCACTGTAAGTTGAATAATATTTGTAATGACAATAGGCTGACCCTACAATGGATTAAAGGACACAGCGGCTCAAGGGGCAACGATGCAGCGGACTGCTTAGCTAGGGAAGGGTCCAGCAGGACGGCCATTGGCCTGAAGCTAATTGTATCTATACCCTATCGCCAGCTGAGAACCTGGATAAGGGAGCGCTGTCTATGTCAATACGACGAATACTGGGCAAAACTTACGGACTGCAGGCAAGCTAGGTAAGCCTTTCCTAAGGTAAACCTGCAGCTATCACGTAAGTTAATCAGACTACCTAGAAAATCGTGGGTATACTCACGGGTCACGACGACCTCAACAAACACCTTTGTAATATAGGAATTTCTGACAGCTCTCGGTGCAGAGCCTGCCCGAAGGCTTCGCACTCGCAAACGTTACAAATTCGATAATGGTTCGAGCTAAGGGATGGTGAAAACCATATGAAAATCTCTTCAGTATGTTTTTGAGAACAATGTGAACTTTAGTATTGAAAATGTAGTGGTTGGTAATAATAGCCACTTAAATAATAAATGATGGTCAATTTTTCATTTTTTTTATATGTAGGTCCAACATGACTCCACCCCACCTGATGTTAAGTAATGGTGAAGTCTAGACGCGAAGATAGCTGATTCAGCAGTTCTACCTGCCACACCAGCTATCCTCACCCTGCCGGCCTGCATGTTGCTTCTTCACGCCTCTTTTAAAGGATTACAGGTTGTAAGAGGGAGCGAGCACGTAAGCGGGCAGAGCATATGTAAGGAGCAGTGTGCTGGGTATACTATAAGTAATTCCATAATAATATAGGTATAACGGCATTAACGTCAAAACTTTCCCCTATACATAATAACCAGAGAAATCTCAGATGGAAAATTGCATCCGGTCTAACGATTAGATATTTTGTAATTATCGGAATACTTAAAGGTACCTGTAATCTGAGTATAATTTTAAGTAGAGGAGTATAATGTTACATATACACTGGTGTCGATTCTGGCATAATAATTCACTAAACTTAAAACTAAATTTAACATCAGTCGACGACCGAGTTTGACGACCTCCGTGGCCGTGTGGTTTGTACGCCGGGTTTCATCTCGCCGACTCGAGAGGTCCCGGGTTCGAATCCCGGGGCAGATGTTTGTGTGATAAACACGAGCATTTGTACTCCAGTCATGGATGTTTAATATGTATTTCTATATAAATATACTTATATATGTAAAGTATATATGTATTCTATCCGTTACCCTAGTATCCCATTACACAAGCCTTATATTGCTTACTTTGGGGCTAGGCTAATTGGTGTGAGTGTTGGAAATATTTATTTATATTTATTTAGTCTCTCCTTTTCATTCTGTATGGAGATTGACAGAACACACTGCTGTCTTTAGGTTAAGGTTTGGAGAATCATGCCAGAATCTATGCCATTGCGCATCTAAAAGTTTTGGTCGATTAAAACAAAGTATATATTGATCCCTTTTTATATTTCATAAAATCAATCAAATTTCGGAATATTCATAATATTCTTATAATTTATAATTAAAAGGGTACGTTACACTTTTCATTACATACTTAAAAACTATTTACATATCTAAAATATGTACTTATATAAAATTAATCTATACAAATACATTTTTTCCTAAAATTGACTGGTATGTAAATAACATTGGCATTTTGTATACACGCGACATCCTTCCTGTTTTCCACCATGAGCTATAGTTTCGTCATGCTATGTCACAATTTAATAGAATTTACAATCCGATTACAAATAAGGATCACACAAAGCATACATAATATCACGCATCTTTGTTTTTAACGTTTTAGAAACGAGAAATAACAAAATGCAATCAAATAAATGTTTTGAAGGTCGACTTTTTCAGTGAGTACAAAACATTTATTCAATTATTATTTGAAGGTTTGTTTAATTCACAAAAGTCAAACAATTAAGCTTGCATGTTTAGATCTTATTCGCACACTGTTTTTTACAAGTGTATGAGAGTATGTATATACACTAACAAATTTTCTCTATGAAACATCATAGAGTAAAGTTATCAGTCAATATTCATAACACAAACTCGTTTTGTTTAATAGCCGTTTGAAGGTTTACTAATTTGGAAAGTGACCAGATATCCAATGAGGCAAGAATCTACAATAAAAACAAATCGAAAGTATAAAAGCGACATTGATACCACAAAGCGAATCTTTGTTTATATGTAACTGTGTCAATGATCTTTACCTTGACAAAAATGTATTTTACCTTGTATTATTATTATGACTTTGTAAATGAATTCTATGCATATCACTTTTGTGGCATTGGAAAAGATTGAAAAGACACCACTCATCCACGTACATGAACAAAAATAATTTAAAAATTAACATATTTACAAATTATTTTTACCTAAAACTAAATAAAGCTGAATGGACGGAAGAGTAAGACTTAGGAGGGAATCGGTTATGAGGTAGTTCATACATTAATCTGCTGATTGTTCGAAACAATCATTGATCTAACACGCGAATCTAAATCTCTAACGAATTCCAAATGAGTTAAATTAACTTACTTCACATGTGAATTGTCAAAAATGTATTTAAGATTTCGAACAAGGCTGGAAGACTTTAAAAAAATATTTACAAGTTTAATTATATCTTAATTGAACATAGCTCTCAGTGGAATATAATTTATCATTGTGATCTTATTACTTAAAAACAACTGTACAATATCTTATCAATGTACAATTAATTACATTGTGAGAGTTGAAACTTAGTAAACATTGACATCTTAAAATTGTCAACGGAATATCTCCATCGGCGATTAGTGGTAATTTATAATGTTTTTCTCTGAGTATGCGAACGTGTCAATAAAAGGTTATTATAAGCCTCCAGCTATTGAACTTTCACTGGTTTATCCCATGATTCACGGTACGGTTTGGAGTAACTTCAACTCTCTTCAGCCTTGTCAGATGGTTTGAATTCGGTTGGCTAATGGACTTTTTCTTTATCTGTGATGATCGCTGAGCTCGTCGCATATCCGTTGAGTTCACACTTGGCGATACCGTTGCTCGTGTATCCATTAGCTTTGTTGGTGTCTTCGTTGGCTCTGATGTGGCCGTTGGCTTCGCCGTTCATGTGTCCGTTCGTCTTGGCGTGACCGTTCGGTATGCTGTTGTTATTGTTGTTGGTGGTCACTTTGGCAGCTCTGGGCTTATCTTTCTTGTAAGCCTGTATGTAGAAGTTCATGAACAGCACGATGAATATCGTCGAGTGCAGGATGAGGCCTGATGCGATGATCCTGATCGAAACAATTAGAAGGATTAGTAAAGATTTACCTTTTGGCAACTTTTAGACTTTAATCCTCCTCCTCCTCCTTATCCTTACTTTAGATCAGTAATACCCGATAAATATTTCTGTTCGGGTACATATTTAAAATTTAAACAGCTGTTTTATAAAGATTTTACATATATCCTATCGTATGAAATACTCGTTTAATGAAATTCATCAAGTATCAAATTGTCTCTAGTACAATTTTTACTAAATTGATTTTGATAACTATTATGCCGATAAATGAATAAAAATCGTTTATTTTATATCAAATTATAGTTATACTCGTTAGTGTTTTAAATCTATTCAATACAGGAATTGTTGTATATATGTTGTGACGAGCAAACCAAGATCTCAGTTTGGTTATGTCAAATTTGGGATTGGTGCGTTAGTATTTAGTAAGAACCATAAGTATTGCACTGTTAGTGTTGCCTCAGAAATCAGCGCCTGAGAGATTGGTTCTTAGACTAATAAAGTTGTGACAGTGTTCTACATGGTCGCCTCTGATTCGGTGTTGCAGGTTGCATTCAGGCTTACAAAATTTATGGCAATATTCAGGCCAATGCAATAACTGTGCATGTAAGATTTTCTTCTGAACATTTTCTAGTCGTGTTTCAATAAAATTATAATTAGAATTACACTTTTTTTACGAGGCGCAACAAATTACCCCACCCCACCTGATGTCATGTGTAAGTCGATTCGAGTCGCCAAGATAGATGACTCGGCAGAAGCTGTGCGTTCCAGCCATCTTCACCTTTCTGGCCGGAACCCAATACCCTACCATGCAAAGCCCTTGAACTATTATCATTGATATATCTAATTTGATTAGCTTTTTTTTATTATGCTTGAGCTAATTATTATATGCATTAGGTACTTATGTGATTATAATTAAGGTTTCTTATTATTTTAATTATATCGTATTGAAACTACATTAATGTTGATTTGTCACACAAATAGTTGTAGTGTTAGTAGTGAAAACTGCAGGACGCAGATTAAATGTTTAACTTACTTTGGATAGCCGCAATCGTACACCAAAGCGCTGATGGAGTGGAACAGCACCATGAAGAATTGCATCTGAAAAGATGACAAAAGAGGAATTTTTAATTAAAAATTTTAAGTGAATTGTAAAACCGATTGTCAGTTAATGAAAATTTCCTTTTAATTTTTAACGTGCCAGCAAACACTATCTGTACAAATGGCTCATCTGATTTTTAAATAATCCACACCTTTTATGTTTTATAAGTTTCCCATACAAACTTCCACTCTCCTTTTTTTTTGAAGTAATACTTCTTTAGGCGCGTTATGAAAAAATGATGAGAGTGAAATTTTAAGATGCGCGCGCATCACTGTAACACAAAAATTAACAGCATGAAGTTGGTCACTTTAGCGACCAACTTCATGCTGTTACTTTTGTGTTTACCGCACATTAAGAAAATCTACCAACAAAATAGAAATAGAATCTCTATTTAGTGGGTGCTAACGACTGCATTGTGAAGGCCTATCAAAAGTATTTATTAATCTGGAACAACGGAACCAAAGCGCGATTCAGGAGACTACAGCGCCATCTCTTGACCATTGGTGTAGTAGAACCAAAAACCACATCTTTATTTTTTGTAATAAAGTAACAGTTATAGGTATTCATATTTATAATATTTATCCACATGTATATTCGGAATACGTGTTTGAGTTTCATACAAGTGCAAATCACATATGTTCTAATAAATTATATTCAGTAGCGATTTTAATTGAATATTTTGATTATTTATTTATTTTTTCAAATTAAAACTGAACTTTATTGACTGTGTCCTTTTCCAGACTTTTTATTAATTTATTGTAATTAATTATTTGCATGCAATTAAAAACTAATTTTAAACGATGCCAAAGAAGGATAACTTCTCACGCGCCTACATAAGTACACGCACCCATTTTTTTCCTTAAACGATGATTTCAGTTCCCGTAGCATGAGCACGACAATTTAAATTATACCACGTTTTTTATTGCGTCTTACTATCAAACTCCATGGTAATTTAACAGTTGATCGTGATAAAAACACGTTATACACATATATTATATCGTGTTGCTCATGCTAGGGGATTAAAACTATATATATCCTTTAAAGTGAGGAGCTCGATGGCGCAAGTGGTTAGCGCGTTCGGCTGCGATCGTTGAAGTTAAGCAACTTTCGCAGTAGTCGGTCATTGGATGGGTGACCAAACATTTACTATCTCGAGCCCCTCCGTGCTTCGGAGGGCACGTTAAACCGTTGGTCCCGGCTGCATCTGCAGTCGTTAGCACCCACCAATCCGAACTGGGCCCGCGTGATGGGTCATGACCCAATCTCCCTATTCTATCCATTGGGAAGGCCTGTGCCCCAGCAGTGGGGACATTAACAGGCTGATGATGATGATATCCTTTAAATGTCATTTTCCGGGGCTCAAACTATCTCTGTACCAAACGAGATCTTCGATTTTGCCCAATTTCGTACCTTGCTACAAATTTTCACAAAAAACATCTAAAAATATACTTATAATGACTCACTCATCAAAATCTCAAACAAATTCAATAGAAATTGCTGAAAATACTAATTAAAATAGGAAATTCGCGCATGAAGTTATTAAAAGCTTTATCACTTAGACGCAATTTCAATTTGTCATTGACTCACAAATGACAGCTGATATTATTGGTTTAAATTCATTTTCTTGATTGTGATTGGTTGTAGCTGTTGTTTGTATTGATACAATACAATAAAAACATTTATTTAATTGCTATTAACTGTTGAAATGCATATTTACCATAATATATAATCTGTGTTGCCATTAATTTAAATGTTTGAACGACATTTTTATGTGGTACAAATGGATAGTAAAATCCATTTATATTTTTGAATAATTCTGCGTATTTTTTTACACATAAATGCATGATAATACTATAGGTACCTACAAAATTGATCTGAGTTGAATGGAGAACATAATGGACCCTTTCATCTGAATAGCTTCAGTGGTTTAAGCGTGTAGAAGTAACAGACACACAGAAACACTATCGCATTTGAAATAATACATAGTATGGATTATATTAATAGTCAACCAAAATTTTACTAACGACCATAAATTCTCTATCGCGACAGCTTACTTCGAATCTGAATTCAATCAAGTCAAGTAGAAATTCTAAGGGTGGTGCCAGCAGCAACTTTAGTCATACTTATAAGTTAATTGACTTCTAATATGTGCTTTTTTGGGTATGTTCTTTATGTTAACCAATTCTCACATAAGTTATTCTTAGTGAGGGCCGCGGTAGCATAATTGGTCAGTGCATTCGCCCGGATTGCGAAGGGTGCGGGTTCGAGTCCCAGCTGCTGCCTGGTCCGCGTGGAATTTTTCCTAGTTGTATTTTCTTTAGATTTAAAAATCAAGCAGTTACATGTTTTAAAATAATAAAAATTATAAATATAATTGCTATTTCTTCTTTCAAATGTTTAATACTTGTAAAAGTATTCATTTGACATTGTGGGTTACCTATGATGCGAAGGGATGGCGCTGCCTTGTAGCTTAAGAATGGCTAGAAGAATTTCGACGCGGTCCGTGAGGGCCGCGGTAGCATAATTGGTCAGTGCATTCGCCCGGATTGCGAAGGGTGAGGGTTCGAGTCCCGTTGCTGCCTGGTCCGCATGGATTTTTTTCTAGTTATATTTTCTTTACATTTAAAAATCAAGCAGTTACATGCTTTAAAATAATAAAAATTATAACTAAGTTATTCTTTTTAGGGCACTAGAAAAATCTATAATATCTGTGTCAATGTTATAGCAAATTTGTATACGTGAATAATTAATTGCTTAATAACCGCCGCGATGAACATAACTCCGGATAATAAAAAAACTGTTGACCATGATTCTGTTCTGTGCAGTTGATTCATAATTAATCTTATCACGAATATAAAGGGGAACATGAAAATAAGATTTAACGATCAGATATAATATATTTGATCTCCATTCCAGTTTTAACATGCACAGACCACGTGAGAACCTAAAGATAAATTTTTACTTGATAATCCTCAAATAGCTGAAATAAATAGTATGGTTATGTTTTTATTTATTTTTAAGCATTTAACTGCTAGATGTTTAAATCTAAAGCAAAGTTTAAAAAGAAAAAAAGCCACGCGGACCAGGCAGCAGACGGGACTCGAACCCGCATCCTTCGCAATCCGGGCGAATGCACTGACCATTATGCTACCACGGCCCTAATGCATAATGGTCAGTGCATTCGCAATGCGGGCGCAATCCGGGCGAATGCACTGACCATTATGCTACCACGGCCCTAATGCATAATGGTCAGTGCATTCGCAATGCGGGCGCAATCCGGGCGAATGCACTGACCATTATGCTACCACGGCCCTAATGCATAATGGTCAGTGCATTCGCCCGGATTGCGAAGGATGCGGGTTCGAGTCCCGTCCGCTGCCTGGTCCGCGCGGATTTTTTTCTAGTAAACTTTTCTTTAGATTTAAATAGTATGGTTTTATGAAATCACGATGCCAGCGAAACTATTAAAATAATTAATAGAAAGAAAAAGTCTTCATCTTTCTCGGCTGGGATTCGAACCCGGGCCGCCTTTAACAGGCTCGCTTGCACTCACAGGGGAAGCTTTAAGGCGTCTGGGAGAAGGATTGGCCCATCGGATTGGTCTGGCTGTTAACAAAGGGTCTTGAAATAGTACCATCAGTAATATATGTAAAATGTAGGCTTGCTAGTATAACGTAGTTTACCTAATTTTTAAGTAATCTTTATAAGGTCTGGCGGAAGTAATGGCCCCCGGAAATGGTCTGGCACTAATAAATATCAATTTTTGGTAATATTCTTAAAATGATATTTAAATATGAGCGCATACACCTTTAGTTCGCGCCACCTGTGAAAGGGCCCCGCTTTCGAGCTAGTAAGTACGCATACTGTCTTAACTACATAGAAGACTAGAAGTCCTCCTAAGGAGATTGCTCAAATTGGCCCAAATGCACAAAAAATATTGACATAGACGGTAATTGTTGGCGTAATCTCTTATCTATTAGACAAGTCCGTCCGTCCGCACAGTGTTTTATAGAACCAAAAATATTTACATCTTAAGATTTTTGCATAAATCAATTATTTAAACCCTAATAAAGGCTAGAGTTCAATTCCTAGATCACTATTTTAAGTAAAAAAAAAGATATGAAGTAGCAAAATTTTTGAAATTTGCGCATGAAAAAATTAACAATTTAATTTCCTCAAAAGACGGTTCCATATCTGTCCATGAGATATTTGCCACTTGCTAAGGAATTATTGATGGCATAATTTTGTAATTTTATTTTATTTATAAGTGTCCTAGTTTCCAAGAAATAAAGTTTTTTTAAATTTCGATTTTTAATTTTATTCTTCAAAAATCGGCAAAAGTGGAACCTGGATTTAGTACAGAAAGGATCTATAAGCCAAGTTCTATCACCCATAAAAAAATCAAGTTTCACTTTTGCGGTTTTAAGAAGTTATGACAGAATTTAGATAAAGGTCAACTTTCATGATCTAGGGTTGTCACAAAGGTCAACTATGAGTTAAATGAAAATGTTAAATTTTTTTGTTATTAATACCGTCAATCAATTGAATAAATTATATTATATTATAATTAAATAATTGTTATACTTATAGACGAATACAATATACTTACATATACTACCTACCTAATGTAGATGTGATAATGTAGGAATACTTTGTTTTAATTTTGACGACCACATTTTAATTTTGCCTTACACGCTAAATGGCAACGAAAAAATAAACTATGTTGTTTGAAAAAAATTAACACACATCCTATACTATAAACGAGCAATTATTGTATGTACCTATATAAATATTTTGGTATGTAATTGGTTTCTCGGAAATGGATCTAACGATTGTGATGAAATTTTGGATTTAGAAATTCATTCACATTTAAAATCAATCTAGGATAGTGTCATCACCTGCCGACACCTTCTTTATGCAACATAGAGGTGTTGCTTTAACTTTTATTCAAATAAATCATCTTCGTTTAATAATTCTAGGTTGCTTTCATTTGCGACGT